TAATTTAAAACGACAATCGACACGGCAAAGAAAAAATCTCTTTTTAAAAGATGGAAAATTAAGCACTTTTTGCAAACTCCGAATAAAAAAGTCACCTTTAAGGGCTTTTAAATATGTAAATCAAAAATAAGTACCTTTGAGCACTTTTTAAAAACGCTACGCACCTTGTTACATTTCTCTCTCATAAAGCAACACTAATTTTAGATATTTGGGATGTTTCTTACGTGTGTTGCAATTCCATAATGCTTTAAAAAATTCTGACTTAAATTTTATTTTATAACCGCCGTTGAACAGCCGACCTAATTATGAGTTTACGGGTACCAATGTTCAATTCCGCAGCCTTGTTATTTTGAACTTAATTCAGAAGACAAGGAAACTTCTGGATTAAGTATTGGAAGAAATTTGCCTTGTTTGAGGACTTTTAATGGAACTAACCGGCATTTGCTGTACACGGAGAGGAAAATAACGATAACCTCCTATGGTTAGCCCGATGGACTCTACCCTATGATCCGTGTACCACTGAGGATATTTTACATCAGCACTGTGGTCGATGCGAGCCGGGTGCGGAATTCGTTTCTACCAGCTATCCCTGGGATTCGAACCCGGCTAACCTTATTAAGAGGCGAGTGCTCAATCCCCTGAGCCACCGCGACTCTTATCAACTTATATTGAGGCTGTTTAATAATTAACCTACTAAACCATATTAAAAAGCTGTAATTTGAAGTCCAACGTTTAAATATATAATATAGTTAAAAGCTGAACAATCCATGCAAATGATATTTTAAAAACCATTTTATTTTAATGCGTAGAACATGTTAAGAAATCATTATTTTTTATTAAAAGTTCTACTGCAAGGAACTATTGAAATAATGATTCCAATTAATATTTCAATCGATTCGTAACACAAAGATAATTACCTAATTAATAAATCGAAGCTAATGCATTTCTCTTTTCTTTACAAATATAATCATTTGTCGATAAATAACGCCTGTTTTGGGCTATTTTTCCGAGTATGAAAGATACAAAAGCATGTAGAAAAGTAGGTCGTGTTACATAATATCTACAAAAGGAAGGAAAAACTTGCTAAAAATATGTTACAAAATATTATAAAATAAATATAAAAAAATAAATAAATAAAAAAAATTTAAAAAAAACTGAAACATGCAATTTGTTCTAAAATATTACAATTATTACTGAAAAATTAAAAACTAGTTAAATAAATTTAAATTACTTTTAATTATTTATCAATTTATAATAATATAAACTATTATCAAATTAATAATTTTCTTTTGTTACTATTTAAAGGACAAAAGATACTTTTTATGATCAAATTACTTTATCTGACTCGATCATGACAATTCAGTGCGTACCAACTGGCGGCGAAGCTTTTTTTTTGCAACCCGCGAACTAAAATATATTAGTTTTTTTTTTTGGATAATTTTCGTAAAAAATCTATATGGGTTTAAAATACTTTNTTTTTTTTTTTTTGCGCACAATTTTCGGAAAAAATCTATATGGCTTTAGAATACTATTCTTTAAATAAACCTAATTTCTTCGTTTCTGTGAAATTTAACATATCAACGGTGCAAAAAAATTTATTTCTTAAGTTTTGCATCCAAAAAAATATTTATTCAAATACAAAAATAATCGTGTTGTTGCTCTTTTTTATTTTTAAATTTTTTTTTTGTATTTTGTTAAAATAATTTAGCATGAGCGTATCAGAAATTTTGTCGAAGAAATTCTCCCATTTAACTTTTTGAAACCACTCATTTTGGACGAAATTATTTGCATTTGTAAATTTTAAAACGCATGAAAGAGGGAATGAATATCATGTTTTATTTAAATTCCTTGAATTGAATATCGCATGAGTGGAAAAGGAAAGAAAATTTTATTTCAAATGCTCGATCATTTTTTTCTTCTTTTTTTTGCTATAATTACTGATAAGTCGAAAAATAATGCTAATTTATCACAGAATTAAATTTAAAAAAAAAAAAAATCTTGTCTCTAAGTTTCTGATTAAGAGAAGATTTAAAATTATACGTAACAATCATTATTTGAAACGCTTGTTATTTTGCTTTTTAATTTTAAAAAACCTTTGATAAAAATCTGACTGTAATATTTAATATTCATTCAAACATAAAAGAGTCCTATATAAAATGTTGATAAATTTTCGGACCGCCATTTGACTGGCATTTTAATTGCGGCCCCCGGCCTCATGTAAGTTGGAAACCCCAGATCTAGACGGGTTTCCAACTGGCGAACTGGGGGCCACATCCGGCCCGCGAAGCCTTTTTTTGTGGCCCGCGAATTAAAATATATTATTTGTCATTTCTTTGCAGACGATTTTCGTAAAAAATCTATATGTGTTTGAAATACTTTTTTCGTTAATAAAAACCTAATTTCTTCATTTCTGTGAAATTTAACACACCAACGATGCAAAGAAATTTATTTCTCAGGTTTTACATCCAAGAAAATATTTATTCAAATACAAAAATAATCGTGTATGTTGCTCTTTTTTATTTCATTTTTTTGTATTTTGTGAATATAATTTAGCATGTGTGTATCAGAAATTTTCTCGAAGAAATTCTCCGATTTAACTTTTTGAAACCACTCATTTTGGACGAAAATATTTACACACACATTTGTAAATTTTAAATTTAAAATGTAAATATCTATTCTCTGGTGGTTGCAGCAGACAAACCTCAATTTTCTCATTGAACATTTTGTGTGCTACTATGTAAGTTTTAATACCAACCTTTTTAAAGTTTTATATCTTAACAATTAGATATCTGTTGCACATTAATTGTTTAATACATAGGTGCACATTAAAGTTATTGTAGCCCGAATTTTTTAATATGCAATTAAATATTTTTAAAAATCTACTTCTTATTTTAATTTGTAATTCAATACTTTTGTTTTGTACAACTTGGTAAAAATCTGACAGTAATATTTAATGTTCCTTCAAACATAAAAGAGTCCTATATAAAATGTTGATAAAGTTGCGGACCGCCATTTGACTGGCATTTTAATTGCGGCCCCCGGCCTCATGTAAATTGGAAGCCCCAGTTCTAGACGAAACATTTATGGGTTTTTTCTCATAGCTAGTATATGGTCAAAAAAAACTACCTTTTGAGCAAAGAATAAACTTAAGAGTTCATATTCCTTTCTATATTTGATTTTGTGGCCCATCCTGTACTTTTTAAGATTACTTAGTACCGTGCCCTGAAATTTAATGAAACTTTTTTACGAAATGTTGACAAGGATTTTTTTTTTTTTTTTTGCATTAAGCGAGCGACAGACAAAAGCTGATGAGTTTCTCTTAATTATTATGATGTATAATTAGACGATTAGAAGTGCTTTTAGTGTTGTTTTTATTTCTAATGACAACATTAAAGTAAATACAGTTATAAAAAATTAACAAAACAAAAATGACCGAAGTTATTACCTAAGACAGTTTCTACTACTATCAGTTCTACAATCAGGTAATTTCGGAGTCGTCAATGAGTTTTCTAAGATCACAGAATAGAAGATGCTTACCCAGGCAATCGTGGCCTGCTGGTAGTTTCCGAAAAAAGCCACTGCATCACGCCTTGAATATTCTGGTAAAAGAGAAAAATTCATTGTGGTGGCTTCATAAACAAGGTTAAGGTGAGTCACAACTTGGTTTTTGTGTCCTAATACCTACTTTTTACAACACTTTCGCAAATTAGTACTTTTAAATATTCTGAAGAAAAAGAAATAAATAGCATTATAATTTGAAGAGTATATAAAAACTTAAAATTTAATGACGCTGACGGATATTCTTTAGCAAACTCGAAATATTACAGTTATTTTATAGTATTTAAGGTTTAAATAATAAAACTCTTAAAAGTTTACATTGAAATTAAATAATAATTGCTTCCGATATCAAAATTTTTGAAATTATTACTTTCTAGAGAAATAATAGTTTCAAAATATGTTTTGTATTCAAATGAATTATAAGCAACATAAAAACTGCTAAATAAATAAAATTCATTTTTGCATTAAATTGTTTTAAACTAAACAAATCTTAAGAGATTAGAATAATATTTTAACTCGTTTAAAAAAAGGTACTTTTTTAAAGCACCATACTTTCTGACGGCTGTTATTCTAAATAAATATAAAAAGTAAATACCCATTTATTTCTTCATATCTACCCTTAATCTTGATTAGGATATTTGTTAGGAGTTCGATATGATTCTTATTCGTTCTTTCAAAAGTTTTAAATGTAGTTGAAGTTGAAAATCATTGAGGATAGCTTGACGAAAGCTTCTTTGTAAAAAAATATAATTTTCGTTTGCTTTAAATTATTCAATAGCTTACAAATCATCCTTGTAAAACAATTTTTAATTAAAAAAAAGATATAATATTTGATAATTTAGACACAATCATAGATTTCAATGCAATTTAAACAAATTATTCTAACTAATGCACTTATAACATAATTGTTTACTATGCTTGAGCAAACGATTTTTAGGAATTCTTTTTGTGCAAACGATTCTATAAATGAAGCTATTTTAGAACAGTTTGTTTTAAAAAACATAGTATATTTTATAAATTTATACATATTGGATTAAACACAAATTATAACTTGTTAAACCTTGAATTCAAGTTTTAACCTATTTCTTATAGAAAATGTATATACAGTCCCTAGCCATATTATTAGACGCACTATAAGATTCTATGTAATTATCAGGTATCAGGTGATAATTACATAGATTATCAGGTGATAATTATCAGGTGATACTATACAGCTGTATTGTTTTTACTCGGATGAAACCGGTTTACATTTGTTTACGCTCCTGTATCAATTGCTTAACATTGTAATACAATACGTTAAAAATAAATGCAAATAGGAAATTTATCCTATCGCCAAATTTATATTATATATCGTCTAATTTAACCAATTGAGACACTAACGTAAACAAGTGAAAACCGGTTTCAGTCCTATAAAAACAATAAAGCTATATAGTATCGCCTGATAATCAAGATTTTACATAGAATCTTATAGTGCGTCTAATAATTTGGCCAGGGACTGTAGTTATTCTTTTGCATTAACCTATATCTTTTATTAAGGACAAAAAACAATAATAATGAACTTTAATATGCTATGTCAATTTTAACGTAAATACATTGCAATTTTATTTGGATAAGATATAACATATAATTTACTTTTATGAAAGACAATTTTAAGGATACGTCGGAGAGAAAAGTTCAATAGATTAATGAAATGTTAGTCTGCGTGACTCAATAAGTTAAAAGGCGAATAGTATTTGACCCTCATTATAGGCAACAAAACGTTATAAATTACATATATTGGCATTGAAAAAAAAATTCGCTCTGTAAAATTCGCACATGAGGAACCTTCTTTAATTATTCCAGAGTATATAAAAGAAAAATGCGACAAGCGAATCTGAAGAATGTGTGATGTTCCTATGGCAACAATGACAATAAAACTTTACCGCTTCAGTTATCAAATGGAATCGTTTGGCACAGTAACTTATTCTCTTAATTTTGCTTCACAGACAGCTCCTGTAACAGTTTACGGATTGTTATTTTTGTGTTATATAAGCAGAAATTAAATTTAAAAAAAAAACGTTTTATTGTACAATATATGGAGGTAAGAAATTGGAAAATTTTTTTATTTAAATAATTAACATAGCAATTTATATAAACTATAAAAAATAAACGATTATTGTTTATGAAATTTTGTTGCATTAAAAAAAAAGTGGTTGGTTAAAAGGGCTAAAATTATACCTTTTTTTAATCACTTTTAAGTTGGATTCTTTATTGTTTTAATTATTAGTTTTTATAAAAGTTTATATGTAATAATAAATGCGAAAAAGTTGAAAAGTTATTTATGTGACAGAACTTTATTCATATATTCTACGGGTAAACATGAATAATGTTGTATGAATTCACACTATTTCCTGATGAAACTGTCATTGAATCGTCTAGATAGATCACTAAGCTTAATTACTCAAGAAAATGTTTTGAATAGTTAAGTTCATTGAGTTAATTATCAAAGCAATTATTATAAATCCTTCTAAAAACTTGAAATGACTTACAAAATAAATTTTATAAATTATTTGCCTGATTGCATTTTTTTAAGTAAGTCAAAAGCGAGGAAACATGTTTTGATTTAAAATCTAATTTTTTTAAAGAAAATTACAGGGAATGGAAATATACACTGTGAGTTAATAACTTCGTGTCCGTCTGCGAAGGAACCGAGAGTGTACAGTATCGGTTCTTGTTAAACTGTTCTACCGTAAAGTGTTTAAGTGCAGATCATCAGACCACCAAAGCGAGGATGCCATTCTTTTTGTAAAGGAACAAAATCACGAGACCGTTTCCCAGACCGTCGCTAATAGCCCCTTGTGTTACTACTAACTACTCTGACATTTTCAACATACTTTTATTATTTTCATTATTCAATAGCTATATATTTTATCATACAAATATTGTTAGATCGAATTATTATCGGTATTTAAGTAAGAAAATAATTGGAAAATAATTTTATCGATTAAAAATTAAAGAAATTTGGGTGAGATTATATTTACGAGGATCTCTGGGCTAGTAGTTCGCAACAAAAATAAGAATTTAATTCGGTGAAAATTTTTATAGGAGACGAAATCAGACTATTAAACGCCGAGTCAAACATTTCAGTTAAGCGCTGAGTCGAATATTTCAAATTATCATTCTACAACTCACATTACAGTTCAAGTCGCAGAATCTCTTTCATTTCAACATTTATTTTATTTAATAAACTGGATTAGCTCTTTTCTAAACTCGCTATTGCCCGCCAACCCCTAGAGCTTCTTGCACTGTTCTTTTAAGATCGATTATCTAATTCTTTTCGTCTTAGTCCTGTAAATACCCCAAATCTTATACTTTTTTTTTTAAATTTTATATTTACTTCAAATTAATTTATACTTTGTTTAAATTATAATAAAGGCTTCTTTCCCTGACTTCACATCCACTATTCCAACAACATGAACTTCTTTCTAACTTGTCAAAAAATTGGCATTTTACCAAATCCAGCAACTCGAATTGTTTAGAACTTCACGGAAACTCTATGTTAGTTTGCATAAATATTAACATCAAAACCCTTGTCAAAATAATCCCAACTTTATTACTTTTTAAAAAAATTAAAGAAATAAATAAGACTATTTGGACAGCTTATCTTTTAAAAGACAGGAATTTTTTGTTCACCTTGTGGGATTATACTCGTATAAATAAATTTCATTGGAAAACAAAAATTTTAAAAATTTATAAACCAAAAACATATTAAAAATTTATAAACCAAAAACATATTAAAAATTTAAAAAAAAAAACAATTTTTTTTTTCAATTCGTGGCTGCAAAAATTTTTTAAGCTTAATATAAATAATTTTCTCTTTACATTAAAGAATTAACCAAATTAATTTTTTAACTGCTAAAAACGCTATTTTAAAATTTAAACGAAGTTACTACAGGTTGCTCACTTTCAGACATAATAAATTACTTGGCTCAAAGAACAAATAAAATAAACTTCCAGATAAAAGAAATTTAAAAACCAGTTTCAGCATTAATAATATTTTCTAATCTCTCTAGTAATTATTGCAAAAATTGCATTAATATAGGTTAAGCTTGAAAGATGGTCAACAGATCATTAAATCACGATAAAATATAGCATTCCTGAATTGCAATTCCTGACAATTATTACAAAGGGTTGCCAAATTTGAGTAATAAAAAATGTAACGGCATTTAATCACTAATTTCTTTATTATTTGGTGAGATAATTTCAAACAGGGTATCCATTTCTTTCAGTCATTTAAGGATTTTTCGCAAAATGAACTTAAAATTATGAAGAAAAATACCTAAAATACATGTTGTAAGGTGAAAGAGGAACTAAACCATGCGTATTTGAGACATTATGTCTGATGTAAAATATTACACTAAAATGACTCAAATCAAACTCAAGTCGATAGAGCTAATAGTTTAAAAGTTTCATGCATTAAAAGCCCAGTTTTACTAGGCAGAAATTCCTTCGGTGGCAAAAATATTTATTTTCAACGAAGTATTTTTAAGTTTTTGTTAAAGAATATTTAAATTTTAATAAGCTAAAACTTCAATAATTAATTTATTTGAAAAATCATTTTTTATACAATATTTCTACGGAATCAACCTCTATTCCTACATTAATAATTTAAAAGTAACGTTTCAAAACTTCACGTTTTTTTTTTTTTCAAATATCGTAGAAATAAAAATGAATGTAGTTTAGAATCGTCTAACACCCACATCGGGTAATGGTATTTTAGACACGCATTTTAAGAACATACAACTATTATTCCTAAAAGCTTTTTTTTTTTACATGCTTCTTTTTTTTTACTACTTACACACTTTTTTTCTACATACAACTATTATTCCTAGAATATCTTATTCGCTGACATTTCTAACTAGAAAGTTAATTATTCAATGAACTTACTGCCATTCAGCTTTATTTTTGAAAGTTAACTGCCTTTTCTTGTAAGCCATAAATAAAATTAGTTTTGCAATCACGTTTTATTGAATAAGTCTAATAATAAAAGTAAAGGCATGATTTGAGTGAAGTTTATTTTAACATTTAATGACTCGATCTTACATGCATTTTATGTTTCCTTCAAATAATTAATCGACGCAATCAAAACCTTTCAGCTTAAAATAAATCTAACAAGTTTAATAGATGAGTCAAAGCAACATATATAGCTGCATTTTTTTTAAGAGAATGTTAATTAAGTTAACGTAACGTAAATATCAAGTTAAGTGAACGTTCATACATTGTATTAAATGTTATTAAGATTTATACAACTGATTGAAACAGGGTGTGAAATTTTCTCTCCACAGCACGCCATTGGCGACCGAATATTTAGGGGTGGCGAGTAAGTTTAGTCTTTAAAAAAGATTATGTTTCAAATCTAACTACCATCCATGTTTTTCTCAGAGGTTTACGTGCAACATCTGTGAAAAATATCACAACACAACTTCGGCAGACCTTCGAGACTGTCGGTTTTGAAATTCGCTAGAATGATTTATTCAGAATTTCTATAAATGGACCCCCCCCCCCCANTGGCCCCCCCCCCCTCAGCATATTTTGATCCTGAGAAATGAAATGTTAGTGCCAGAAGTCAGCGGTAAGCAAACATGAAGAGCTATAAGTATGATAAACATTACTGATGTTTTTCTTATTTCAATATGTAGATGATATTGGAATCATAACGAAAACTTATGGCTGATTTATTTTAAATACATAAATATTGTTACTATTTTTGTTGAAATAAGTATGGTTCACATTTTCTACACCCTTTTAAGGCTTTGGTCACCAATAAGCTCTTCATACATTTGTTAACATTTTAAAAAATGCTTATATTTTTCGTAAAAATAGCGAACAAAAATTTTAGTTCGGCTAATAGCTTTAGAACTGAAATCTCACGCCCTAGATTTAAATATCAAACATACAAGCTATTTTTTCTTATATGTAAAATTTTTTGACCCAATCTTGCTTTTAAAGTAAACTTTAAAATTGATGAATGATAAAGTAAAATAAAAAACTTTTATCAAAATTATTTATTATTTTATTAAAATTATTGACACATATTTAAAATACTTATAATCAAAACATATTTAGTTAACCGCTATTTTAACATAAAATGCAGTAATTTTTTTTTAGGAAACTTAGAAAGTTTTGATAAAAATATGAACATCAGGTCAATGTGGGTAGTTGTGTACATTTGTTTATTTATTTATTCAAATACCAACATCCACCGAATTACACACTGACGCAAGAAGAAAAAAAAATCTATCTGCGGGTCTTTCAACGGTTGAAAAGATACTTATTTAAACCGCATCTCCTGTGTCTAACCGTATTCAATCGGTTTAAGCACTTAGTAAGTATAATTGTTGAGTTATTCTTTAAAAATGCTTTTAAGTTTTAAGCCATTTATTTTTATTTAAATGCGAGTTGTAAGCAAGTCTTTTTCGAAGTTAAATGCATAGAGTGCTTTATTTAATGGCTTCTTTTTTCGTATAGCTAAAATATAAAAATATTTTTCAATCAGCATACAAAAAATGTAGATCCGAAACTGTTCAGATGATATCGGAATTGCTGAAATGAGTGACTAACTGTGTATCAAATTATAGCACGTTTTATTTATTTTAATATATATATATATATATTTTAAATATTTAATTTTAAAACCTTTGATGTGATAAATTTCAAACTCAATTTATCAACTTTCGAGAGTGTATCAACTATCAACAATTTATCTGTTTTCGAGATGCAAGTCATTTCAAAGAAAATATCAAAATTATTGGATTGTATAGAAATTTAATATCACAGTACTTATTAGTAGATTAGGTATCTATTATCAGAAGTAATTAAGCATCATTGACGTTAGTAACAGTGTGGAGACTCTCGTATGATCTTGCTAAACTGAATAGTACCTTAAAATGTTTTGAAAAGTTAATTATTTTTTTAAAAAATCAATTAATTGTTCACCGTGAGAATGCTAGATTATGTTGATTGCATTCGACACTTTCAAACAGATCTTATAAGAATTAAATAGAGGTAGTAAAATATATAAGTTAGGGGTTTTCAACATTTTGTGTCCGAGGGCGCCATCAATATCAAAGAAGATAAACAGTTTATATCGGAGTAGGTACCATTTTTTTTACATATTTTCTAACACGACATTTCCATGGTAGCTCAGGGAATAGAGCGTTTGCTCCTCAATGAGGAGCCCCAGGTTCAAATCTCAGCGGTGGCTGGTTGATGCGAATTCTACTTCCGGATCTCGCCTACCCCTGCACTGACTTAAAATATTCTTAGTGGTAGACAGATCGGGGAATCCCCTTGTCATTGGGCAAACCGTGGGAATATTTCGTGGTTTTCTTATCCATGTAACGCAAACGCGGGTTAATTCCTTCAAAATTCCCCAATGGGTTCTAAATTGCTAGGCCACATTGAATATTGAAGGTCGTAATTCAGAATTGACTCTTCTGATAAACGCCGTTTATAAAATAAAATAACCTATGATATTATTTTGTTAAAAATTGAAATAAAATTGGATAAGAAACAATTCAGTTTAGATTTTGTCTAAAACAGACAAAATATGATTATGCTAACAAATTAATCATCTAAATACTACGGTGTTGAAAAATATTTTAAAAATTATTATACATTACAAAAGGGATGAATGTCATTTCATTATGTTATATTATTTTTGCCGAACTAATTAAACTTAACAATGAATACCATGGGAAATAATTATAGCTGCAATTCTCAAACTGTCTTTCAAATGCTTGTTTGTCAAAGATATATGTCTCGTATGTTGGTATGCTTAATGTCTTATTATTTTTAAATTATTATTATTTCGATCTTAATAAAACACTAAATAGAGTGATTCGGCAATGATCATTTTTTAACAACATCCAAGAATTTTGCATTACAGTTATTATTTGAAATAGTTGTACTACGGCCTTTTAAATTTTTTTTTCATTTATCTATTGTTATAAACTGAATGAAATAGTTAATGGATTACTACTGGTTAAAAACTCTTAATGCTCCTGGCGTTAAAAACTCCTAATATACTAAAAATAATCAATCAATAATTTAATGCATTAATAGGAAATTTATATACACAATCTAAATATATTTGCCTTGGTTTCTTTTAACCTGAAACAATCGAACATCATTTGTTTGGCTTTTACATTAAGAAAAAGTAACGCTTTCATATTTTTCTTACTTTTCAGGGAATGGAACTGATTAAATACAACTAAACGAACTTAGCAGTCTTCAGGTTTATTAACAGAATAACAGAAATTAAACAGAACGCAGTTAAACAGAAATATCAGATTTTATAATTTTTTGAAAAAAATGTTTGCCTTCCGAGAAAATAAAAGGAAATCCGTTCAAGAAAAACGCTATTTATCTGATGTAAGATAAATATGAGCTGACCATTAACTAATTTTGGAATGTCGAAATTCAAACATTATTTTCGTGTTATTCGCTTCAAGTATTTGGGATCTCTTAAAAGATTGGCAACATGCTATAATACAGTCACGATATTGTTAATAGGTATGATTGTTTTAGCAATTGTTTATCAAGAATTTGATAGTGACAAAGAAATACCTGTATCGAAACTGGATGAATTTATGCCCGCAACGTATGGTAAAGAAACTATTAAATCGACTCTAAACCCAAAACACCTTACTTCAAAAACGACTTTTGATATTGACAAAGTTCAATCAATAAAAGTTCAACCTAAATCAACTCCACTATTTAAGAAAAAAGAGGAAGATATTGTTGACGGATCGTTAAAAAATCCACCACTCCAAAAATTGCCAGTTATTAAGCTGAAATACGTTGCTAAAAACCCACGTTTCAAAGTCAAAACCAAAGAGGAAAAATTTATAACCCCTAAGAAATTAACTTATAAAGACATATTTGGACGTCTGGCACATCCAAGACTATTTCCTAATCCTACACAGACTGTTCATAAACAGGAAAATGTTGTAAGAACTAGCCTAAATGACTGGATTCAAGCTAATAATCCTCGCGATCAATATAAATTTTTAGTATATTCAGCTTATTGGGACGATCGATTCGATCAAAACAATAACGTCAGAATAATGGCTGTTATGGTAACAAAACATCCCCCACCCGTATTTTGCCGCCTGCAAATGGCGGACGGTAAAACCATTGATGCTCGTGTCGTAAAAAAAGTCATGAATGAACATTGGAGATTAAAGTACTGTTCTCTTTTTATCTCTTGCGAAGTCGCCAAGAATACACCATCGCCTTTAAGGGTAATAGTTTCTATTAATCGAAATTTCACTTTCTCTGCAATGTTGCCGGTTCACCAAAACAAAGAGGATGTCGTATCTCCAAGAGGTGACATTGCTGTATGCGTGAAACCACTTCATTACAATTACGATCGAGCTACATGGCTCTTAGAATTTATCGAATTTCATCGCCAACTTGGTGTGGAACATTTCTTTTTTTACAATCATACGGTAGGTCCAAACGTTGACGCTGTTTTGCGATACTATATAACACAAGGCAGTGTTACAATTCTTCCTTGGACTTTGCCCGTTAAATCACAGAAAGAAATAAGAACAGAGGCTATATTTTCTTCCCTCAATGATTGCGTCTTCAGAACTATGTACTTCTTTCGATATGTAATAATGTTAGATTTCGACGAATACATCATCCCTCGCGAGCATGAAACTTACATGGACATGTTGCATCAATTGGAAGAAGACAATAAACATATAAGAGGCCGCCCGGGTAGCTTCGTTTTTAAAAATGTTTTCTTTTACCTCTACTGGGAAAACGACACCACTGTGTATGGAGCTGAACCTGAAAAACCACCACAATGGGTACCATATCTCATTACTCAATACAAAACTAGAAGACTATCTACTTCAATGAAAATAGGAAGCCGATCTAAATATATTGTGGTTCCAGATCGCATAATAGAAGTTGGAAATCATGTGGTTTGGAGGCATACCTCAGGTAAGTGTATCTAATTTATAAACGTAGTCCAAACTATTAGGAAGTTTTCTTTCTCTCTTTTATTTTTCTAACTTTATTTGAATTGCAAAAGTTAAAAAAATCTGAAGAGAATTGGAGTTAAATGATTAGATTGCTCTCCGAAAGTGTAGATATTTGTTGAAATGCTAACAAGGTCATATAAATAGTGTAAAGATGCGGTAGACCACATAATTTACAATAGTCCTCATAATCGTCGCATATCCAAACAATCGATTATAGTCCCCTTAATAATTCATGGCAGCAGAAAATCCTCAGCGGACATGTCGTATGATTATACGGTATGTAAAAAATCCCAGTGCCGTATTGGCTCTTGGCATTTCCGGCAAAATTAAATTCCTAGTGCACTTTAGCATCCAAATAGTCTTGGTGCTGCCATCTAGTGTGGCAGAAACCAGACGTCCAAATTAACATGACCAACGATATCTCACCCATTGTGGTGGTCCTGAAAGAGTGGATACCACCCCTGGAGAACGCGCTAGGTCTGCTTATCGGCAAGACCGATTGTGCAGCTCATTTTTCATGAATCATCTTCAATTTAAATTCATTGGAGGTAAAAGCAATAAAGAGATTAATCTTTTTACAGATGTTTCGAAGATTTAAGAACTTTTTTTACTACGAGTGAAATTTAGAGAACTAGCGTAACTGTGTATTTTAATTTAATCTCACCCCCCCCCCTCAAAAAAAAATGGGACATCTGATCTGCGAAGCCCATATATGAGCTTATTACCACATTTTCTGGCTTAGGGTGTTCAAAAACACTTATTTTCGTTCGTAATTTATTACCAGTCACTCTAATCTCTGAAAGCTTTAAACTTTATTGATAACTATGAGAAATCGCATGACCTTAACACCTCTAAATTTAGAAAGAAATTCGCTAAATGTTTCTTGTGAAATATTTTAAAAAAATGTCTAAAACTGAAAGTGTCCCTTCCATTATTGTAGGGTAGTATATACGTCATGCCTTAGCTCTTTTTAACTTTATATATTTCAGGCAGCAGAGCTATAAGTGTACAGGACACAGTTGCCCTACTACATCATTATAGGATTTGTGAATTTGGAGGATTTAGTTGCCTCAAAAAGGATAGTGTCGTGGATCGCACAGCTACGAAATTTGGACCAGACTTGTTGCAGCGTGTCACTCGCAGCTGTCGATTGATTTTCTCTGATCGAGATGGCACGTGTCCCCTGTCACCCCCTCTTGGAAGTCCATGGTGACGCATTTAAAATATCATTCCTTAATGATGTTCATTATTGGTAACACTATCTACCATAATGTAACATCATTTCTATATTTCATTAATCTCTCAACATGAAATTAACATAAAAGCAATTATGTGTGCAACTGTTAATGTTTCTGAAACGAACTATCTTTGTTGTAAATAGTATATTTACTGTATTTGTTGTACATAGCAATTTAAAAAGGTTTTTTTTTTTCTTTTTGATCAGATAATTATGAAATAAATTTTTAGAGAAAGCATTTTATGTTTAATTTGAACGAGCGCGGCTTCATTTATGCAAAAATAGAATTATGAACAGAAATGAAACAAATAAAAATGAAAATCTTGTTAGTAAAAATTAGCTAATTTCATCAAATTCCTAATACGTATCAAAATTCTTTCCAACATTTGCATTATTTTAATTGTTCCACGACAGAAGCTTGTTTTCTGTTATTATATGAACAAAAGAAATAATAGGAAGTTGTAATGTTGCTATTATTTGCAACTTTACAATATGAAAAATATGGGATCAAAGTAAACCTATAATATTATATTTCTTTCAGACTATAGATAAAAAAAAAAAAAAAAAATCTGGTATTAGAAATAGTTATTATTTTTAAACCAAACTTATGAAGAAAAAAATAATCTAGACTCATTAAATATACTAAAAACTAAATTATTTTGCGATAAGGTTTAACTTTGATTTGCAGAACATGACGTTTGGAAAATTTACTCATGAAAATTTTCCTATTACACTAGTATAAATCTAAGAAGTATTGAATGTCAACTTCATGGAATCAGATCCAATACCTGAGGTATTTCTCAGAATGTCTTTGAAAAAACATCTGGTGTAAAGACATCGAACTTTTAAAAATTATTAATTTATTTAAAAAACAAACTTAATTGTTTTAAGATGATTAACATTGAAGTTCTACCAAAACATTAACTGACAATTTAATTGTATTTCCAAACAGCAACGAGATGTCTTGTTATTTGAAAAATCTGATGCACGTGTGCACTCTTGTTAAAGGTAAATTTTCCTTTTCGATAAATTAAAAGATTTAAAAAAAAAAAAATTTTTTTTTTTACTTGACTTTGATTAAATTAAAGATTCTGTTTAAACTCCTATTTTCTTTCAAGTTAACAAATATTTATACCAAAAAAATAATTCTTAGTAACATTTGAAACTTAAAAACATTCACAAAACTTCCTCATAGATAAATTTCTCAAGATGTTTTTTCCTCCATTCAGCTGTGTCATAGCAGAAGAAAAGATAAGCTAAAAAATTTTTTTTCCCCACAACAGTTTGTTTATTCAATTCAAAAGGAATGTGCACTTGTTGTAAAATTGTTTATAGTCAAAATTAATAAGCAATTAAATAATTAAATAACCTAATGCTCATGTTTATAACTGTTGAAGATGCCTTTTTATTTATTTTTTTTTTTTTTTTTGATAAATTAAAAAAATATTAATATTGACTGAGCAAATGAAATGCTTTTTTTTTTTCCTTACATAAATCTTATTGGTTCTGAATCAACAAATATTTTATCTCTTATTTTACAAAACAAGTTTCCTAAACATCATAAATAAACAAAATTTCATATACCCAGGCCCCTGAAACAATTCTAGATGGTTTGTCAGTAAATTTTTTTTAAAATTCTATCAGACAAATTTATAAACTTCAAGTAATTTAAAAGTGCCAAAAAAAATATTCTTATTTCCTTTAAAAAATGGACAGTTGTTACATTTTTATTAGTAATTAGCCAGTGTCGATTCCTAAATAATGAAAATTTGATATTTTTTTGCTGTTTAATATTAATCAGTTTATGAGGAGTAATAATGAGGCTAACAAGATTAAAAGCAATAGCCCCATTTACAATACATAAAACAAATTGCACATGCATTTCCAATGCTAAAAAATTTTTTCACATTAACATATCATAAAAAAATTATATTAAGTTAAAAATTCAAGAGTTTCGACAGAATTTTTATTTCTGACTAGATATGGTACATCACAGTGGTTTGGCTAAGTACAATAGCTATACATAACATAATTATAATGAACTAATGAAGGATGGTTGTTACTTAAGGCCAACACTTCATGCAGAAGTATAAATAATAATATTGCACAACAATTAAGAATAATTTTGAACTCTTAAGTGCAAGTCAAACAACAACAAAAAATTTTTATACTAGATTTGGCAGGAAATAAATATAATCTCAAATAAATGACTAGAACATTTACAAGCTCTAGCAGAAGATATCATAATGTTACATCTGACATTTTCTATTGAATAAATAAATCCTAATCATTACATGAATGATTTCTATTTTAATCAAAAAAATACATTAATTTATAAGATGATTTTTGATTTAGATATATATATGTTTCTATCAACATTAACAACACAAATTTAAATGCAAATTTTAAAAGCCAATAAAAATACCAACAAGTAGCACTGTGCTAGTTGCTAACAATAAATAAAAATAATACAGTGCAGTAAAAATGTGAGAGTAACTTAACGGCAGATTATTGCTACACAAATTGGAAGTTAAATTGAGATCTAAGTGACGGTGGGGTAAGATAAAAAGATTTCATTAGATGACATGGTGAACAGCGGGTACTTTATTTAATACTTTGTCGAAGGAATTGAAATCATTTATGAATTGAGTTCATATTCTTTCCATATAGGGTTTACACTCTCGGTAAAAACCTTCACAGTAAAAAATATGTATTTCATTAAAATTAAATTCTTTTTTGAATTATTCAAAATTGTAATACAAAAGAGTATTTCAGTCATAAAAGAAGGGCTTAAATTCAAAAGTAACCAAGCGAGTAAAAATGAAAAAGTAGAACTCTCTTACATGGATTGATAACTTTCCAGAAAAAATAAAAGAGAAGTTGACAAATAGGTGGTTAAGGAATTTCAGAATAAATCATGCTATTAGCTTGAATTGAACAATAAAAAATTAGCAGCAAATTTGAAAGCAACAGAAAATATAGTATGCATGAAAGTAACATAATTTTTTTTCAGTTCACTCTTTTTATTAATTATTAAGATCAGTTCTGATCTTCATTAATCTGGATAATTTTTATTAGCCAAAACAATTAATTTAAATTTAAAAAAGGTTATGCATAGAAAGTTTATATACCAAATGAAATAAAAGTAAAATATATAATAAGTGAAAATTCGCAGTTGCTTGGAATCAAAACTCTTTCAAGCGAAACAACAAAAGCAATTTCTTCTATTGTTAATCTTTCCAGACACAAATTTTCCAGTATTTATTTTGCAGTCTTTCATAACATCTAAGTATATGTACTTCGATGAATATGAGAAAGAAAAAAAGTTGAGTAATGTGCGGCAAAGGAACTGAGTAAATGTTAAATGAATACCACCCATTTTAGCACAAGTACGAAAAACCTTATATAACTGTGAATACATTCTTTTTAATCATTATTAATAATTTGTTTGATGAATCAGGCTAATATTTCAATTCCTCACCTAAGAAACAACCTTTTCTCCTCTAATATCTGGATTTTAAATTTCCCAGTATAAATATCCCAAACATTCTGGACAGAGTTCTACTACATAAACACATTTCACTCAAATTGATGAATATATGACTTGGTCTTTTTTGAATTTAAGCTAGTACATAGTAGGGGAATAAAAAACAAAAATATTTGATTTCATGCTTAAGAATGCATTTGCTTTATAGCTGTATATTGTATAAATTTATACCTCAAAGATAGGAATCATTCAACTGCTATCTAAATTATCTAACTCATTTACATACAGCAATAAATGTCCTTTAAAAATACATTCTAAAAGGTTTCTAATTTAATTATTAAACGAACATCAAGTTATTTTGCAAAAAATAAATACTTTACCACTAATGCTCCTGATAGCAGAAACCCTCAAGTACAGCAGCTGACACTGCTGATTTTTATAACACCTGCAGATTGTTTTCATCTTAATTTTCTTTTTATTTCCATAAAACAAACAAGGGGGGGGAGGATTGCTAAGACTTTTTTTTAAAACGTCTTTGAACTTCTTTTCTAAATTACAAGAACACCACAAATAACAGAAGTAAAGATTTTTCCTCTTCTTTTACTTGATTACTGGCTGAAATGTATAGGGATTTATTCTATTTTTTTAAGTACTGTTGAATAAAGTTCAACTTAAATTTAAGCAACATAAATTTTTTATGTATAAGGACCATATATTCGCACATTTTGTTACATATATGTTAGTTTAAGCTGAATTTTTACAATAATAATTTTCGTCTGATTGTGTTGATGTTCCTGACAAAATTGGATCTGCAGACAAATTAATTTGCTCAGCAAATTCACTGTAAATTCTGCTACCAGGCTAATGCCTAATTACACAAACCTGCATATAAAGGTGGAAGATGAGGTGGAATAAGTTTTTGTGATGCACTTAAATAAAATTTATAAGAATAAATACATTTTCATTTATTTGTTACTAAATAATGCTCAGCAATTGCAGGTAATGCATATGTACTTTACCAACACTCATGCTTTGCCATAAGCATAGTCTGAAAAAAAAATAACATTTATATTAACTTTTACTTACATTCATACAAGTTTTATTCCATGGAAATAAAGTACATCTATCTATACCTATAAACTTTTATGCAGTTTTTCAGTTTTAAAAATTTGTTGCCTAGTATTAAATTAACTTTGTTACTTACTATACTTATAAATACACTAAAATGCTTATGTACTTAATTTTAGGACCACTATATCAATCATTCATTTATGAATCAATTATAAAAATCACTGTTTTTTTTCTGAACAATTTCATATGCTATTTATGTAATTTGTAAAAATTTAAATATAAAGAACAGATACTTTTGTATCCTTTTAAATAAACAAAAAGAAAATTTTATGTAAATACAATGTTTTACACATATGCAACTATCAAGACAGTTATATTTTAAATTTTATACACAATTAAATAGAATGATTACCAATTACATTGATTTAATGCTAATTATGAGTCATAATTATTTTATTTACACAAATTATGTAGCACTTTCCAAGCACTGTATTTAATCTATTACCAAAAAGAAATAGCCAATCCTACCACATAATGCCAATTGATATCAGCATGTAAAAAAGAAGGAATTTTTTAAGTACACAATGGTAGAGGGTATGCAAACCACAAGGACAGGATCAGAAAAGGATTAAACTATGCTAATCCAATACACACATTAGATGGTTTATTACAAAAACTTTCTTTTAATATAATAGTTTTTCATTTCAAAAAATCACATGTATTCATAAAAAAAAATAATAATAATGATAATAATTTTTTGCTGATTATTTTATTTGTGAATTACTTTTAAACATTTGATTCAAACATTAACTCGTAAGGATTATTGGCGTTTAAGTTATTGTAAGACATCCAGTTTTAATAAAGCAGCATCTTTAGTAAATGTATTTAAGGGTTAAAGGCACACCTAACTAACCCTGTAAGTTTGGATAAGTCCTATTTGCTAAACAGGAAGAACTATTTGACTATTTCATTTTGTTAGATTTGAATATTATAAGTACGATCAACACTCAGAACTAGTAAAATAATTATTCCTGGAGGGAAAACTTTCCATTATCAAAAGAAATTTTCTGTAAAAAATTTTTTATTTCATAGGCTATTTATACAAACTTAAAACAGCCAAAATATCCTCGAGAAATCATAGCACATTTTCAGGATATTGAAAAATAATAATGACATATTGATTCATCAATTATAATAAATTATTTAAGTCTGTGGTTGAAACTTATATGTTTAAACATACTTTTATAATTTTAAGTTCGTTTTACTTTAAAAATATAGACTTGTTTAGTTTTACTTCTTAAATATTTCTTTAGATATGTTTTACGACTTGACAACAATTACAACATCCAACTTAAATTTTTTTAAAATAAAATTCATAGTTTAGTAAAGGAAATAAAACATATCCATAAAATATAAGAACCATATATTTTATAAATAATTATTTTGTATTAAGGGTGAACATGAACAATAAATATTATTTATAGCTTTAAATAATAAATTATTCATAATATATTATTAAATGTGAGAAAATTAAAAAAAATATATAAACAATTTTTGTTTTAAATTAAAGAATCAAACAAATATACAAAGGAAAAAAAGTTAGACTATCACAGTCAACTTACATTTTAATTATTTTTGGAAACTTAAATTATTGTTAAATTTTAAAAACAATTAAAACAAAATTATTTATTTTGAAAAATAAAAATTAAAGAAAATAAAGATTAAAACTTTAAAAAATTTCCAAAATAATTAAGTTGATAGCTGTGAAATTTTTTTCCAACTAAAACGTACATACAAAAGAATAATTGTCAATCAAGACTTAGAATGTTAAAGTAAAATGCTTTAACAAATAAAGATTGTACTAGCAGCACACAATTAAAAAAAAAAAAAAATGCAAATCTAACACATTTTGCAAAGACATATTACTATCAGTGCATTATTTTGTGATTCTAGTTTCAATAACAAAATCAATCATATGTATTTCAAATTAAGTCTCTAAGAATTTTTCTTTCAACTTGAAATTGTGCATGACAAATGTTTTTTAACATTTAAGTCGTAGAAACAAATTGCGAGAGGAAGATTTCAATTCGTTTAAAAGGAACTTAATGATTAACGATACTAATACAGAGCTGGTGTTAAATTAATTTGAAAAAAGTTCATAACATTTCAGAAAGTCATTTTTTTTAAATGTTTAATGCACACATATATATATATTTCTTTAAATTCTGAATTAATATTAATTTAACCATTTCGCAAAAATAAAGGAATTTTTTAAAAAAAAAACTATTATAACATCAGTTAAACATATTAATTGGAATAACAAATTTTGTTAAACTTTACAATACATCTCTAATTTGAATGTTCTTTATTTTAATCACGACACTTATCACAATAAAACAAATCACAAATAAATGCATCGCTATGTCAGCTACATAAACAGAGATCAATAAAATAAAGCAAACACCTCCCTTGTCAGATAAAACACTCAAGTCACCAGCTCTGTGTCAGCCTGACAAGCATCGCTCGATAAGAAACTCAACAGCTCTAATACCACAACTTTTCAAAAAGGATATCAAATAACTTTTGTCACCATTCAAGGAGTAAAGTAGTAATAGAACAACACACAATCACTGTACATAAACATTGTGGGTTCTCTAACCTCTTTTTTTTCTTTTCCCATCTACAAAATAACTCAACGATTAAGATTATATGTGTATTTAGCAATGGAATGCACATTAATAAGCTTGTTGTTGAAAACCTGGCCCTCCTGGTGCCATATCCTTTTGGTTTGCAGAGAATGGAGGTTCTTGGTAGCCTTCGTTCATCTCAGGCCCATCAGGGTAGCTGGTGTAAGGGGCTGCACCCGGCATGCCAGTATCACCCTCAAAGCCACTCGTTACAAAAGCAGTATCAGCTCCTTGCTTGTAGCGTGTGAATGCAAAGAATATGCAGCCAGCCTGTCAAAATAAAACAGTTAACTAGAATCAAAGCAAAATGAAAGCAGTCTACTAACTTAAAAATATCTGATAGGCATACTTGTCAACTTTAACGAAATATATTCTTAATAGTAGCTAATTTTATGCCTCAATATACTACTCTAGGTTTAAAAATTGATTTCAAACTACTTTAAAAGGATGCACAGCCAAATCTTTCAACAAAAAATAAGCACCTTTTAAGTAATTTTCAAGCACTCAAAAAATATTTTTAAGCACTATATACATTAACAAAATGCAAAATAATTTACAAAGATTTTACATGATCATGATAAAACAACTACTTTCTGACAAAGAACTCCTTTTTTCATATACTCCTTTGACTACAAATTTAGAAAGAAAAAAAAATCACTGGAAATCTGTTAAGTTGACCATGTCTGTAAGGTCACCTGTCTAAGTAGACCTTAATAATTGAGTATCATATTGGAAGCTAAATTAAATTTCCCTTTGATAAAACTAACAACTTGCCTAAATGTACCATCCAATAGCTGTCCCACAAATGGTCAACTTACACAAGCTTTACTATAACAGGGTGCATAGCCAAATCTTCCAACCAAAAAGCACCTTTTAAGTACTTTTTAAGCACTCAAAAAATATTTTTAAGCACTATATACATTAGCAAAATAATTTTCAAAGACTTTAGATGATCATGAGAAAATAACTAGTTCCTGACAAAGAACTCTTTTCTTGATTTTATTAGCCACCATAAAAAGGTCTAAAGATTTTTCGGTTCAATTTCAGAGGGTGGAAAATTAAGCCTGAAATTGAGGATATCTTGCAAAATGTAGCAGAGTTGCACACGAGAGTGCTAGAATCTCACCAACCTCAGCTCAGTAGACACACATGCGGACTCGCAAGTGTTTCATCAAACATGTAAAATGATTGGAGCATTCATACGCTGTAGATTGAAAGTAGGCCAAAATGGATTGTGGGTGAATGAATTGTGAAAACGTTGAATAGAACAATGTGAAAAGCACGATTCTGCATAATATGTGGCAAAAATCGACATGGTAAAAAAAAAAAAGTCTGATTTTCAAAAAGAGAATATTAAGTACTTTTTAAAAACACCTAATGAAAAAAGCATCTTTAAGAGCTTTCAAAAAACGAAAATAAGCACCTTTAAGCACTTTTTAAAAATGCTATGCACCATGTTTAACCACCACAACATAAAAGAAATTAAAATTCGTTTAAGAAATTACCCCTTATATATACCTAAAGCCTGATAAAATTCAAACATTTCTAAATAGCCTTAATGCTTTTACTCTGCTTTTCACTACCACTAGTAAAACTCTTTAGCGAAAATCGTAAAAGTTGGCAGCTATGCCGATAGGACGTTCGGACTAGTGGTCTGAACTAATACAAAACAAGTAACAAAACTAGTGTAATCTCTATTTCATCCTAGTTTTTTTGAGTGAAACTACCTTTTTTAAAATGTAGTGCAGTGAGTCAAAAGTATGATACAAAAGAAACAAGCACGTTTCTAGTGAACCTGATTGGTTTTGAATCTGATTAGTTCACATCTTAAGTGAGTGGATGCATCAAGAATGTACTTGATAATTTTTTCTTCTTCTTTCTTAACTAATTGAAAAACTTTTTTAAACGAAACATAACTAAATTTAGTATTTAACAAAATCACAAATGTTGGATAATTTTTCAGAGTTTTTGTGTAATAAATATTCACAATGAAGAAAAGCGTAAAAAAATGCAGGTCGGAAGAAAAAAATCGTAAAAATAAATTGGCTAATTTATTATTATTAATCCTTTTTAATTAGCTTTTCTTCAATAAACAACTGTTTAAATTTTGAATGTGAGAGTAAATTGGGTCTTACACCCCAAGCATGTCTTCTAAATGTATCTAAATAGTGACATTTCAGAAGTAGTTAGCAATCATTAAAATAAATATTGTAACTATATAAAATAATTGTAACTATATAAAATATCGTAAACTACAACAAAAAAAAAGAGAAAGTTTTTCCGACCGATATTAAAAATACATGGATAAGGATATTTAATAAAGAAATAATTAAAGAAGGAAACACTTTGTAAAATAATAGTATTGCTTAAGAACAATATTAAATATTTTAAAAAAAAGTTTAGTTAAGCAAAAGACTGATTTTATAAAGTTTGCTTAAAATCACAACAATGTTAAAGAATTTAAATTTAAAATACTCTCAAAACCATAATAAGGTTATAAAATCTAATTTTAAAAATCATGCCAATATTTTTAAAATTATTTTAATATTTTATTTTTATATTTATGGCCAACTTAAACTATTCTTAGATTACTTGATAAGGTTACCTTTGCAAACAGATTTATTATACAGAATTCAAATAGACAAGTTTTTTTTAAAAATTTTATAATTAGTGTTATAAGATTTAAATGGGCCCTATTTTTGACTTCACAATCTATAGAGATAGACTAACTCTACAACTTTAAAAGAATCTTTAAAGAATATGTGTTGTTTATTTCAAAACCAAGCACCTCAAATTAAAGAACAAAATATAACAAAACTGTTTAAATTTTGAATGTGAGAGTAAATTGAGTCTTACACCCCAAGCATGTCTTCTAAATGTATTTAAATAGTAATTTAAATTTTTAAATAAATATTGTAACTATATAAAATATCGTAAACTACAACAAAAAAAAAGAGAAAGTTTTTCCGACCGATATTAAAAATACATGGATAAGGATATTTAATAAAGAAATAATTAAAGAAGGAAACACTTTGTAAAATAATAGTATTGCTTAAGAACAATATTAAATATTTTAAAAAAAAGTTTAGTTAAGCAAAAGACTGATTTTATAAAGTTTGCTTAAAATCACAACAATGTTAAAGAATTTAAATTTAAAATACTCTCAAAACCATAATAAGGTTATAAAATCTAATTTTAAAAATCATGCCAATATTTTTAAAATTATTTTAATATTTTATTTTTATATTTATGGCCAACTTTAACTATTCTTAGATTACTTGATAAGGTTACCTTTGCAAACAGATTTATTATAAAGAATTCAAATAGACAAGCTTTTTTTAAAAATTTTATAATTAGTGTTATAAGATTTAAATGGGCCCTATTTTTGACTTCACAATCTATAGAGATAGACTAACTCTACAACTTTAAAAGAATCTTTAAAGAATATGTGTTGTTTATTTCAAAACCAAGCACCTCAAATTAAAGAACAAAATATAACAAACCATGGCTTTTCCATCAAAACCATGTTTTATGCGTTTGAAATCGCGTTTTCTTGCAATACTGGCCAAGTCCTGCAGACATTGAATAGCAAAATTGGTTATCTTTACATCTCCCAAATATTGCTTTAGATTAAGCATTTATTATTTGTTGATTAGGGTTATTGTGTCTTCACATGTGACTGTAATCAAAGTTTCTAATTAAATTTCAATTTCATTATTATAAAAAGTGCTGAGGTAGTGTCTTCTATAAATGAATAAAAAAAGAAAGAAAAGTGATCCTACACCATGGAAAAGCCATAGTCCTTAATTTGTTCTCTATGTTTACTCTTAGTCCCAGCTTTTGATTTTCTTAATCAAAATATACAGCAGTAATTGTCAGACATTATTTGTAAACATCTTATCAAAAATTTTTCATCACTAGTTGATATTTTAGTAATCTATCATATTACGGTATATCAAACATTAAATTAACATAAAAGTAATTTCAAACACAGTTTACAGTACATTGATTAGGATATTAAAGTATGGCATGCATGTTATTGTTCCTAGATAATTTCAAACAAGCATACATTTTCATTTATTCATGTCACAAATGAAAGAAGAAAAAAATACTAAATTTAATTAAACAAATGCCAAAAGATTAGTTACATACGTATAAAGACTTCTAAGCTCAAATCATAATTGAAAAAAAAAAAATTGAAAAAATACTGTAAAGGTTTGCTACACAACAAATAAACACATTTATGAAGAAGAAAAAAATGTACTTACCCATACAGGAATTGAAAAGAAACTGAAGGCTATAGCACCCCTTAAGTTGTTGACACCATATCCATGCTTGGGATAGGGGGACTTCCTCCAAGAATCACTTAGATAACAGAAAGTGACAAACCACATAAAGGCCATCCCGGCTACAAAATAAGGCAATGACAATTTAATCAAACACATTAATAGCAAAAATAGTTTTAATTCAATTCAGAGATATATCAAAACAGTAAACAGCTAATAATCAGCAATTCTACGAGATTTTGGAAATGACGGTTCTTTACAATCTAGGAAATGTAAATTTCCTTCTCATTTTTTACTAAATGCAAATACCTATTTAAAATAATTTAAATCTCCCACATAAATATATAGTAAATGATATTGAATATTTAAGGATTAAGAAAAAGAATACAAACAGTAAAAAATTCAATAATTATTCAACAAAGAATTAAAACCATAACTGTCTATCAGTTGTCTTAAGATCAAAATCAAGTTGTTGTTTTTTTTAAAGATAATAAGGCACATTATATTCTTTTTGATACATACTTACTAATTCATAATGCTGATTAGAACATTCAAAATAATACTTTCGTAAAAGAAGGTTAAAACAACTATCACTTAAAACTGAATAGTAAATGTAAGAGAATAACTAAGAATATGAAATGATTGAGTTTCCATAAAGAAATATAGCCGAATAAGAGATGATTTACCATTTTATTCTAATAAAAAATAGATATACCATTTATTTCTACTTAAAAAATACTATTAAGTTACAAAAATATTCATGAGTTATTAGGAATGAAATTTACGTAACACGTCAAATTTTTTATTTTTTTTGGGTGTTGCCTTTACAATTTTTGGCATACATGACACGCTACAAATTAGTGAAATGACAAAATTTGTGAGTTACGGAATTTAAGTACTTGGGTTCAGTTGCCACTGAAAACAATGATATTATACCAGAGATTAAGCAAAGACTAAATGCTGGAAATCGCAGTTTTTTTGCGCTTAAAAGATTGCTAACATCAAAAGTAATAAAGAGGAAAACAAAACTTCAGGTTTATTAAACTATAATCAGACCAATCATTATCTATGGATCAGAGACATGGACTCCAGCTCAAAAACAAGGAAAAATACTGATTACCTGGGAAAGAAAAATTCTTAGAACTATTTTCGGACCTGTCAAAGAGGGTGATCTGTGGAGAAGGCGATAAAATTTCAAAATGTAAAGACTATTTAAAGGAAAAGATATAATCAATTATGTAAAAGCAAAGAGAATTCAATGGCTAGGACACCTTGAGAAAATGGAGGAAAACAGAGGCACTAAGAAGATATTCAAGGGGCAGTGCCAGGGCTAAAGGAAAAGAGGAAGGCCAGCCAAGAGATGGTTATACGAGGTGGAGAAAGACCTAAGATTCTACAGGTTCGGAACTGGAAACAAAGAGCTAGAGACAGGCGACTTTAGAGAAAAATTGTTAGTGAGGCCATGGTCCAACAGGGACTGTAATGCCAGGGAGTTAGTTTTATGACACACTACAGCAGGGATGGCAACCCAATGGCACGCATGCCATTTATGGCACCTGACACAATATTTTGGGCACGCCACCGATCACATTTGTTATTACACTATGAATTGTTATTACTCAAATGCTATTACACTATGAAGCATATGCAACAATTAAATTGAAATTCACAAAAACAAACAAAATAATAAACAATTATTAATAAAAAATTAACATTTAATGCTAAAAAAACAATTAGTAACCATAAAAAACAAGCTAACAATAAATAGCTATAAAGAAAATAACAGTCCCGCTTAAACTAACATCTTTCAACCTAATATAAGTTATTTGTCATCTAATCTGCAACAACAGAAGTCACACTGATGTTACTTTAAGTTGAATTACGCGTATAACTGAGACATTGCAAAATGTTTTTTTTTTTTTCAATGTAAATAGTTTTGAGTTGATAGTATTTAGTATTATTATTTTCCCAATAATCACGAAGGCAAAATTATTTGACGGCACGTCTATGACCTCATTAACCAATTTTTTGGAAAAAATGGCACGTTGGTGTATAAAGGTTCGCCACCCCTGCACTAACTACAGCATGTAAACGGAATCACTTATAATAAACTCGAAAGACAGCCGAGTCTCACGGTACAGATAATTAAATTATCAGTTTAAAAGTTTTGTAATAAATTCCATGTTTTCTGAATTAAATGCTAAAATTTTCAGAATCAGAGGTCAAGAGGATGCACTTAAACTCCTCTGGAAATCCAATATATTAAAAATTGTATTTTGTTTTTTTATTTAGATTTATAAACTAGGTGCAAAACAAAATGCATTTTTGAATTTATTACTAAAATTAAGAAATATTGTTTGCTAATTGGAAGGTATAAAAATTCCCTTCATAGAATTTAAAAAATTTTAATGAATTTTTTTTTGAAAATAATGTGAAAATCTGGAAAAATTTCTGTGGGCACTCTTACTTTTTCCATAATAACTGCCTCAATTTATTGTTTAGTAAAAGGTTTAATGCTATAAAATAAATATTGTAAATATAAACTCATTTTAAGGAGTGTATGTGTGAGCATTCTTTTCCCTTTGACAAAAATGTATGACTTTTCCACTCAAGCATAAAATATATAATTTTCTTCTGGACTTGAATACAAACAATAACACAGATTGAAGATTTTTCTCAACAATATTTATTTTACTCCTTAAAATGACTTTTAATAAGAATTAATCAGCCATTCATTTAAACATAATCATCTACAAATGAATAAATGCTTAAGCAGCTGTATTTTCTTTAAGTCAATTTAAATAGAAAAATTTTGTATTTTAACCTGTTTGTACTTGTTTTGTATTTAATTACAATCAATTGATCAAAATATATTGAAATGTAATTTTTTGTTCACAATTGGTTGTCTGATTAAAACAAATAAAAAAAAGCAAAAGAAATAAAGTTTTTAATAAAGATAAAAGAAAATTTAAAATATTGTTTTCAAAGAAAGAAAATACACGAAGCACAAATTTTATTGACACATACTTGTTTAGAAACTATTGTTAACTTTAAAAATGTTTTCTTTCTCTTCTTCTTTAAATATTAAAATGGTTTGAGTGTTGACTCTAGTGCAAGGGTCACCTTATTGCAATTACTAGGTATCTAAATTTTGGCGCATGCCTCTTTGATAGTTTATCCTCATCTGCTAGTGGAAACTCACTTAATCTACTAATACCATATATAAACCAAATGCTGAGCCTATGGTATTTGTAAAAATTGTATAGAAATTTCTTTCCAACACAAGATTTTTCTAAGGGGTACACAACTCATAGCCTGGGAATTGGCAATGTCTTGCCCTCTAACTTCCAAATAAAATCTTAAAATTAACTACATAACTAGCATAAGAATTTTCTAACAGCTTTTCTAACTTTTTAAGTTTATGAAATTTATTGAAATTAAACACTAAAATTAAACTTCTAAAAAGCAGAGATGCCAACTTAGCAAACTAGTAATCAGAAACACAATAACACAGAAATATATACAGTATGTGCGCTTACGGAATTTAAATTAGGGCAATTTTAAGGCGTATATGCTACTTAATTCTAAAAAGGTATATAATAATAAAATTATGCATGAATTTACTATTAAATAAAACAGTGACATTTAGATATTGGTATTAAATTAAAAATTAAACAACACTGAAACTTTATACTTTATTTTAAAATTATTAAATAAAATTGATAACTTGGTATCAATATTCCAGCTTTTAGTTAAATTAGAACTAGTCCTTATAGTTTTTTTATCATCCTACATTTGAACCACTAAAAATTGTAGCATTGAAAACTTGAGTTTACGTTCTTTGCTTTTCTATAAGGAGAGAAGATAAATTTTAGAATAGCTTGTTCGAAAGAGGGAATATGGGAGGAAATGTTTATTCCTTGTTTCTATGAAATCATTTTTGTTTTTTATTCATTGTTTTTAGAATTGTTTAAGGAGTTGAGAAAAATTAAGTAGATTAGTTAGTTGCAAATAACAAAATTTCATAACTTTAGCAGTTAGGGAGAAAAAAAACTTGTTTTTAACAGATTATAATAGGAATTCTCAAAGACTGCAATTTTATTACTCAACCATAAGACTTTGATCTTGACAATGAAATTGTAATAATTACTGTTAAATTGTAATAGTTGGCACTCCTGAAAAATAAAAGTACTAATCACAAAAGTAAAGATGTCAGAGAAATCTTTTAATGTTTCATTAACACATTGACTGCTGCACGCGTTTACAGTGAAATCTCCTTCGGGCCACGAGTACCGCTGTATAAAGCGTATTCTGCTAAGTACTCCCACCGATATTTTAATAATGCGAGTCCCTGGTATACTTTGCCTTTTAACTTTTCAGACAGGTATAGACATAGATGGTTGCATTTGTATTACAATAAGGGTGAATTTAAATCATAATTGATTTAAATAACCCATTCACTCTGGTCTCCATAAGCAAGAAAAAAATTTTCCATGGCTCTTTATGATAGAAAAAGACTGTGTACTTCTAATTTAAGTGATAAACATTTAACCCACTGGCGATTTAGCAAATGGGCAAAATTGGCAGAATGTTTCTCCCCAGTACACCATTTCTCTATCTAAAAACATGGAATAACCGGTTTTGCTATGCTGAGAAGACTGTAGGTTAAAGTACGACTTTTATGTGCAGAACCGTCAGTGGGTTAAAGAAACTTTCTTAAAACTAAAATGGGCAAGTTCTACTTATCAAGTAACTAAAATGTAATTTTGTTACCAGTTAATAAAGTATTTAAAGGATCAAAAACTGCATCTGAACACTGTAGAATTAAATATTGTAATAATTTTTAACTATAATTTATAATATATATAATTAATAAAAATGAGGCTTGTGATAGATATACCTGAAAAAGCCATGTCTGCAATAACTGCTCTCCTTCGAACCTTGATACTGGAGATATTATTAAACATAATATCAGTAATTAATAAGCACAGGCTGCCTAAGAAAGCAATCACCCCAATCCCTGTGCCAAAATTGCAAGCATTTATATCGTTGTTGTAGAGACATTTGTCTTTCATCCATCCTTCAGAACCTATGCACCCAAATACAACTATAGAAAATACCTGAAATAATAACCATTGTAAGAAAATGTTACATACATCTAGAGAAAAGTTCTGAAGGATAGATGAGAGACATTTGTCTTTCATCCATCCTTCAGAACCAATGCACCCAAATAAAACTATAGAAAATACCTGGAACAATAGCCATTGTAAGAAAATGTTATATACATCTAGAGAAAAGTTCTGAAGGATAGATGAGAGACATTTGTCTTTCATCTATCCTTCAAAACCAATGCATCCAAATACAACTATAGAAAATACCTGGAATAATAACCATTGTAAGAAAATGTTATATACAGCTAGAGAAAAGTTCTGAAGGATGGATGAGAGACATTTGTCTTTCATCTATCCTTCAGAAATAATGCACTAGAAAATACCTGGAATAATAACCATTGTAAGAAAATGTTATATACATCTAGACAAAAGTTCTGAAGGATAGATGAGAGACATTTGTCTTTCATCCATCCTTCAGAAACAATGCATCCAAATACAACTATAGAAAATACCTGGAATAATAACCATTGTAAGAAAATGTTATATACATCTAGAGAAAAGTTCTGAATGATGGATGAGAGACATTTGTCTTTCATCCATCCATTAGATCTTATGCATCCAAATACAGCTGTAGGAACACCTAAAATAACGACCATTGTAAGAAAATGTTATGAACATCTAGAGAAAAGTTCTGTAGAAGAGAAAAGAGAGAGAACTTTTCTAAAGAAAAGTTCTGAGGAATGAGATACATTTGTCTTTCATTCGTCCTTCAGAACTTATGCACCCAAATAAAACTATAGAAAATACCTCAAATAATAGCCATTGTAAGAAAATGTCATAAACATCTAAAGAAAAGTAAATAAAAATCTTAATTAAATCTGATATCTTTTTTTTATTAGGGACACACAGGCTAGAGATTTTGGCCAAATAATAAATATTCAGAATGCCAAATACTAGTTATTTGTTTTCTTATTTTTACTATATATAATAATAATTACTATTTTAAAATATAATAAAAATCTAATATTTTTTTTCCGGAAAAGCTTCGAACATTCATTAGTATGCCGCTAATTATATTTTTCAATTCCACAGATGGGGCTATGTGCAGTGATGTAAAAAGCTAATTAGTTCAGAATCCTCCCTGGCACTGTAGCATTAATATTTCTTCATTATCAAATTTATTTTTCTATTAAAGGTGTTTGGTCATGAATTAGATTAATATAAATACGGATTCAGAAATGAATAAGAACTGCCCCCGAAATCATTGTATAATAATAATAGTTAATACACATTAATAATTATTCAATAAATGAAATAAACCAGCATATAAACAGATGAAATAAAATGGATTATTTTAAAATTACTATTGATTTGTCAGTTGTGTCGATTAGATCAAAGTTTGAATTAATTTTTTTTTCATTGCATCAATTGGATTTTCTAAGTAAGAGCATCCCACCAATTCAATGGACGCATAATTTCTGTTGGAGCTAAGTTCTTAACATTTTCTTTTAAAATTACAAGAGAGTTCTGCTCCTTGTCTGAAAATACTGACACAATTCCTTCGGAGCAAGCTTCTCATTCTTTTTACCAAAGTTTTATTTAAAACCCAAATTTTTATTTCTTGATATTTTTTTAGAACAGATACATGTTTGACAACTTCCTGACATTACAAGCCTGTTTACTGTAACAGGTCGAATGTCAAGGGTTACTTGTAATACTAATAAGAATAAATAAGGCAGATTGATTCTGGGACTTTTTTCCCCCCTTCTTCTATCTTTTTTTTAAATATTAAAACATGAGAAAATATGGAATATTTTAAATCTAACTAGTGTAAGATGCTAAGTAGACTAAGATAGTAAAAATGGAGAGAAGGCATTCTTACAACAAGAAAAGAACTTAAAACATTCTAATAACTATTTGTCATCATTCTCTTACATAAAAAGAGAGGGTATTAAGTAACTTTAAATATAAAAGTTAAAATACTAAGAAAGCATATTCTTCAGGATTCAACTTTTAAAAAATTAGTTTTTTTTTTTTTTTAAGGAATATGTTTTATTTATTTAAACAGTGAATTTAACATGTAATTTCCATTATTTTGGAAAATATATTTCTAAGAGGTTGTAAAAGATAACATATTAAAAACTAAAGTAGAGTTTTGTTCAGTAGTACATATCAGTAAACTAAACAAAGATATTATAAATGGCCAAAATCTCAAGTTCTGCTAAAAGTTTAATAAAAATCATGTATTTTTCTTTTTTAAATAACTGCTTTAGTTTACAACCATTGAAAAAATTATTTGCTTAAAACTTCAAATATGTTATATGATGTTGTTATGATGAGTTAAATAAACATACAATAACTTAAATCATCGTTTAAGACAGATTGGCATGATTATAATAGTTGAGATAAAATGTCTTGGCATGTAATAAAACTGAAAGAATTTTTAAAAAATGTCTCTTTATACAGAATATGGACCATATTTTGTACAAGGATCATATTCTGTACAAAACAGAAGACAACCTTTCATTTTAAGAAAAAGAAAAAAAGCTGAATGAAAAGAAATTAATTGAGGAGTCTGATAAAGAATAATTACTAAAATTGTAATAAAGTTCTTCTTTTTTGATTTTTGTTCTTTTATATGCATTCAGTAAGGACAATATTACATATAATTTTTTAAGTTATTAATAAAACAACTTTTATTAAATTGAAGTCGAAAATTTAATATTACTATCATTAGAATTTAAAATAGGTGAGGGAACTTTATAATTTTAAATAATTTATTTAAAAATAAACTGGTATTTTCTTATTTTTTTTTCAAAATAATTGAGGAAAAAAAAGCTTAAATTAAACTATTGTTCAACATATTTAGAAGAGAATAATGATTTAAATTAAAATTAGTTTTAAAAAAAACTGAGGTTTTTTTTTACAATTTTCAGAGAACACCATTTTTATTCAAATGTACTAGGTTAAAAGTTGGTTTTATTTTATTCAAGGTTGACTTATTGCCCAGAAGAAGCCTATTTGTTCCAGGAGACTGGAAAAAGTGGGATGAAATGGAATAAATTTAATGGATTGGAAGAAGCTTGATGAAATCGTAGAAATTAAAACTGACTAATGCAATTTAGAAAGAAGCATTATTAGAGCTGTTTAAAAAATAGAAGTTAATATAGTTAAAAGTTTTTCACATTAAATTCTTTAAAAATAATAACTTTTCTCCAATAACTTATTTTAGTTTTAATTTTTAAACAGCACTTTAAATTTATATTTCACATTTCTTAAGATTGGGTAGGTATGATTATTCACATTGAACAAAATTTGATTGAAAAATTAGTATGATACTTGTAATTGTGAATTCAACAATTTCTAGTAGTGCACAATGTGTATTATATATGATTTGTTAAATCGGTGATAAAATTTTATTTTGATATTTAAACTGTTCCATAGAATATTACAAAATGAGATGGTTTTTTTTCGACGCATAGGTACAGGAAATAAAGTACAGCTATTTTCATTTTGATCAAAATTTTTCTTTCGAATTGTTGCGCTTTAGTTTTCACTTACTTGAAAATGATGCATTAATACTTGGAAATTAATACTATTATTTAAACTAGATTGCAATTATGAGCTTTCAATTTATTTTTAAATTGATATTTCTTTTTGAAACAGAGTTTCTTCCACTTGAGTTAGAAAAAACCTATTGGTTTTTTTCACATAGGAAGAAACTTGCCATCCCTGGTCTTGCATTGTTTGTTTACTCTTTTTTTTCATTTAGGAATATTGTTGAAATACCTAAATTGAGCCATTGTTTAGCATATTACAAGAGGATCAATGATTTAAATCAAATTATCAAAATCAGCTGGAGGAAATTTTCTTAATTACAATTTTAAGAGAACACCATTTGTATTCGAATATAGCAATGCTCAACAAATTTTGTTAATTGGCTGTTTTAATGCATTAAATTAAAATTTATACTTCATTATTGTTTTTTGTTTAAAAATTTTTGGAAACATTTTAATTAAACCATCATTTGACTATGGTATCAATGATTTGAATGAAATTATTAAAACCAGACAATAAAACATTTTAAAATACACTTTTAATTCCTTGATTTTTGAATTTTAATCACTGATTAAAAAAAAATCATTGAGAAGTTTTGTCATGTTAATTTAGCAGTGAGAATAAAAATCAAATTTTCTACAGCAATAAAATAATTTGGTTGCTGTTAAAAACAAATTTTTTACAAATTTTTCACAAATACTCTAAAAAGGACAGAAAAAAAAACTAGCAAACTGTTCTTTAAAACTATGCCTAGATAAGTGATGAAAAATAAACATTGTACAGATATTAAATGTTTTTTCTACAGATTATTTATTTGTGCAGTTTATTTTTTCGTTATTCATGAACTTAAACCTCAGGCATATCAAAACATGTTCTTTTGAATGCATTATTGTAAGAAAACAATCAAACAAAATAAATAATTTATACTATGTAAACTATGTACTGTTACAACACTTAGTAAATACTGAATTTGGTTTTGAAAAGGTAAAAGAATTTAAATATCTCGATTCAATTATCACTGAAAAAAATAATTAAACTCTACTCAGAGATAAAGGCTAAACTGACAGCTGGAAGCAAATGTCACTTTCCAAGTTGATTAAACGCTCTCTCTCAAGAAATTTAAAACAAAAATTTTTAGAAAAGTTAAAACAAAAATTAGACCTAATGTCACATATGCAACAGAAACTTAAGACTATTAAACTAAAAAGTACATATTCATTTTAAAAGAAAGATTCTAAACAAAATATATGGACCAATCAAAGATGAAGATGAGTGGAGAAGAAAATTAGGAGTAGTGAATTAAGCTCTATAAAGAAAAAGATATAGGGTGACCTGGGGTAATTCCTGATCAAAAAATGCAAATCTATTTTGTGAAAAAACTATACAAGATAGAATTTTAATATTTATTGGAAGTTTGAGGCTATATGAGATGAGTCCCATGCTACCTTCTTTTGTTTGAAAATCTAATTAGAATTTAAAAGATTTTAAATTTTTAGTGATCAGGAATTACCCCTTCTCTTGATCTATTCTGGGGTAATTACTGATCACCAGTTTTTATAGTAGGTAAATGGGCTGTTTAAAAATAATTATACAATGGTAATTAACAAATAAGACATTAAGACCAAACAAATAAACCAAAAAGATATGTTTAAGCAGCTAATAAAACTTTTTATTTAAAATCAGGAAAAAAGATTAACACTTCAGCTCTGGCTGCAGCTCTCACACTGAAATTTTCATTTTCAACCATTAAAAGAAATTCACTATTTTTGCTTTCTAGAAGCTTAATATCCTTTTCAAGCTTATAATTTCTCACCATATTTATATTAGGTTAATTTATCAACTTAAAAATTATTCTAACAATGTACACACATAAAAATAAGATAGAAGAAAGGTAAGACAAGCTAGAAATGGTGCATATCAGAACACATTTGTCTTGTATACAGTTAAAAACAAATTTTGTGATTATAGTTAAAATATATTTTATAGTTGTTCCACTTAATAAATATGAACTGTTATTTAAGAAAAGACAATTAACTATTTATTAGCTATTTTTTATACTATTTATAAGAAGAAATGACAATGATCAGGAATTACCCCAGTGATCAATAATTACCCCATCTGTAGGGGGCAACATTTGATATAGTTTCCTATAATCAATTATAATGTTTACAGTAGATGTGAAACAATTAAACAAAAGCTTACACTATTTTTATATCAAAGAAAAAGAAAGTAACTCAAAATATTTATTATTAAGAGAAGGAGGGGGATCTTTGCAGAAATGTGCACATTTTGAAACCCATCTTTGAAATGGAAAATACAGCAAGCATTTTAAAAGATACTTATTTTGTTAGATTAAACAAAAAACAGTTATTAAGTAAATGCAGTTATACTTTAGTAAAGTGTACAAGCATTCTTGTCCATGCCTCAAATTTAAAAAAATTTTCTTTTTTTAAATAAAACTTAGGTGATCATTATTTACCCCAGAAACGAGTGATCCTGAATTACCCCGGGTTCACCCTAATAAATATAAAATCTATAAGAAAGGACTTAAAGGGAAAGCTCAGACAACCAAGAAAAACATGGCTAGATGAGTTAGAGAAAGATTTAAAAAAGATGAAAATCAAAAGTTGGAAGATAAAGGACAAGGAAAAAGTGAAATGGTGTGGTAAAGGAGGTCAAGGTCTTTCATGAATGATAGAGTTGAGGAGTAAGATACTAAGACTAAAATTTATACCTAATGAAATGGTTGATATTTAGGTCAATAATTAAGATTTATTTTAGAGTTTATGAGAGACTGAAAATTTGAATTTTTTCTGTTTCTATATTAATAAACTCAGTAAGATATGTTTTGGTATGGCATTATTAAGAAATAAAAGTAATTCCTTGTGTGAACTAGCTGAATAAGTTAATGCAGAAAAAGCATAACAACATTGAATCAACTATGACTATTCTTTAACAAGTGATCTATTATCTAGTAATAGAGATATTTACTGGAAATTTCCTTAAATTATAATTTCTAAAATAATCTAACCCAATGATTGTAAATTTAATATCTGAAATAATTTATCTCAATGATAGGTAAATTTCATATCTGAATTAAACTAACCCAATGGATTTGAATTTAATTAGTTGAATTTAATTATTGAAGATAATAGAAAGGGAAAAAAAGAATATTACTACTTAGTAGAAAAGAAGAATATTTTAGAGAATGCTAGAACACTATTTTACAAAAGAGCAAGGTGTACATGAAATATTTGTCTTACATTTTTACTGAAGATTTATTCCTAATTAAATGGTTGATTTTTTTTATCTGTAAAGCCTTATTATCCAGTTTACAAGAGACTTCAAATCTACATTTTTTTCTATTTTGATGAATTTATTTAGATACTTTCTGGTATTATAATACAATTTAATTTAAATAATTCCTTGAGAGAACTAACTGAATCATTTTATGCAGAGAAAGCATAAAAAGTGTAAATCAACTCTGACTATTCTTTAACAGGTGTGGCAATCAATTGATTTGCACTGAAATATACTTTTAAAAAAATCAATTTAAAAAAAAATCCAAAACCAATGGGGGTTAAATTTAATGTTTCAAAAAATTATTGATGTGATAATAGAAAAAGGACAATACTACTTAGAGGAAAAGGAAAATAATGTGAAAAAAAAAAATCGAAATATATTAAAAGAATGCTGGTAGACGAAGACTAAACTACATCGTACATGAAATGTCTTCATTAACTATTCACTAACAATATATAGTTAATTATGTATAAAAGTATTAAAGATTTATAATTTTTTTTAAATCTAAAACGGAAATACAGTAAAAATAAAATAAGTAATAAAAATTGATAATATAGATAGATAAAATATATGTATAGGGTGTATGCAGTTATGTATGTATTTATTATTGAGAAATTATATATATTTCAAATAACACTACATGTAATGTAAATATTAACTTCTGATATACCCTTGTATAATATCTTCATATTATTAATCAAAATACGAGTGGATAGGAGCAAATTTCAAAATAAAATATTTTGAATAAAAAATATTTGTAAAATGTAATAAATTTATGAAGAAAAAAAAATTGCATACTAAACAATTACTGAAAACAATAAAAAATCGAAGGTTAAAATAAACCGACTAATAAATTATTCCCGATCAATAAATGATTCAAACTACATAGGAAAATATATCCTAATTCATATATTCTCCATTTGTACGCTGTACATATCCACATATCACAAATAAATTTAAAAAATTTAACTCCATGTCGAGATCAATGCAGTAAAATCTCCCAATGTATACTCCAAATATATCCCGTCATGCGGCCGGCTGGATCAATAACTAACATGGCCAATGTTTGGCATTCATTGATGGGTAGAGAAGCAAATTAAAGACACAAGTAAGACACACAGAATATTTTCGCAATTTCTTACCCAACATAAAAGTCTTAAAATCACATGAGGTTTTGTTAAAATTGATATTGGATCATTGGCAGTTCCCGCTTTTCCCGCGCCGTAAGCACCACCAACTCCGCCGTTCATATTTGTTACGGACTGAACTCTGGGAAAAATCGAGAGGTTGCCGTTTCTAGTGTTGCTGATAGCGTAGAGGTCGCCAAGAATAAAAATCGGTTTTCTGGAAAAACAATCAAAAATCGAACTGTTTTTTAATTTTTGAAAAAAATATAGTTTTGCATTCAATGACAGAGGTAGTTTTTGAATGTTTTTTATCTGATTAAATTAACTCTTGAAATATTAATAAATTTATTGTGCCTGGATTGAAGTTGATAGAATTCTCTCGGCAGAGGGGCCGAGTCTCCGGTTTCCGACGATAGGCACGATTCCCACGCAACTATTTTATTGTAATTAATATACACTACCGGTCAAAAGTTTGCGAAAATTTTGAAATCTACAAAAAAAAGTTCTAAATTCAAATGTTCATAGAACTGCGAAAAATCATTCAAATAACATGAAAATTTGATATGTTCTAAGGTGAACTCTTTACAGTTAGTTACATATGATCAAATTGCAATACTTTGTTTTTTGCGAACTGAATCCACCTTTTCATCATGAGTTGTTTCTATGGTGAAAAAAGTTGTTAAGTTTGAACACTTGCCAAACTTGCAAAAAAAATTTTTTNAACATTTTTTTACTTAAAAAAAATGTCTTTTTTCATTTATTGTTATTTGTTCTTCTTTCTGGTGGCTTTACGCTATTAGATTAAGTGAGACATGTTTTCAGAAATTCGCCTAAGCGAAACCAATATTCAGTAAATTACCTATTTATCCACAACTTATAGTAGATTAGACGAGTAGACGAGACACCTACATTAGTATTTATAATACTTATTACTAATATATATATATAGAAAGAGAGAGAGAAAGAAAACTGCTGGAAAGACAAATTTCCAAATTCCTTTAAATGTAAGGTGGGAACTTTTAACTATTTTTAATATAAACTATTAATCGCAACTTATTTTTCCCAGAGACAAAATTAAAAAAAAAAAAAAACTTTTCCGTACATACGTAATAATTGTTAATATGTATTGATACATTTTGGAAATATGATAGGTACATTTTGGAAATATGATTGGTATGTATTGGTTTTACTACCACTTTCTGGTTTTACTACCAGTTCTGATGATGCTAGCTAATTGACGTAGAAAAAATTAAGTGTAGAAATCACACACTTTAACAAAACCATTTCATTTATATAATTATTTAGAATTCCTTATTGCATTTTAAAATAAGGGAATAGCTGATAGCTATTATACAATTTTGTTGGCAAAATTCCTGAATATATATTTTTCAAAAAACCTTTTTTTATTGTCTTAAGAAATTTTTTCGCATTTTATGCGAAAAAGACTAGAACTACCACTTTCGACAATTTTAGTTCACTCTATAACGAAACTGAGAGCATTATTATTTACTTACTACTGAATAAACATATTCGATTAGCATTTTGAACATCGATCTTTATTATTCAGAAACAATTTTGAAATATCTAGTAGTTCAATTTTATGTGTGCATAATTTCACTTTTTAATTGCATTAAACTTAATATTAAACAATTTGATAATTTTTTTAAAAATATCGGTCCTTTTTCAAAATTTTTCATGAGTAAATTTAAAAACCATCCTAACTATGAGCACTTTTTTTTATTTATAGAGTAAATAAACTTTATATTACAATTACATTAAATAAATATATTTTAATAAATATTTCTCCAATCCTGTTTGTCCATTACCTATTAAAACCTATTTTCTTGAAAACCAGTGTTATTATTAAACAAATTTTTACAGTAAACCACTTTTGATTGATTTAATTATCAGAAATTGCAGCAAAAACATTAGTTTTAAAATTATTCATGTATACTAGCGGGCATGGGTTATCTTGTATTTCTTAGATTGATCCTCGTAATGAAATAACATTCATCACATTTTACGCATTTTAAGCTTTTTTGTTCCTGGTTTACAAGAAAGAATTTTTTTCTTGTTCAACAAATAAGCAAATAAATAAAAAGAAATTTACAATAAATTATTATTAAACAAATTATTAATTATTATTATAAATTAGTAATTATTATTATAAATTAATAATAATTATTATTATAAATTAATAATTATTATTAAGCAAATAAATAAAAAGCAATGCGGTATACCACTTTTGATTGATTTAATTATTGACTGATCCTCGTAATTAAATAACATTCATCACATTTTACGCGTTTTGAGCTTTCTTATACCTGGTTTACGAGAAGTTTTATTTTCTTGCAAACCAGTGTTATTATTAAACAAATAAATAAAAATCAGTGTACAATAAATTATTATAAAACAAATTATTAATGATTATTATCAATTAATAATTATTATTAAACAAATAAATAAAAAGCAAATACAGTATACCAATTTTGATTAATTTACATATTATTAAAAAATTAATTAATTAATTAACAAAGACATTAATTTTAAAATTGAAAATGTATTCTAGTGAGCATGGGTTATCTTGTATTTATCACTTTGATCCTCGTAATGAAACATCATTCATCACTTTTTACGCGTTTTGATTTTTTTATATGAGAGAAATAACTACTCTTAAATTACATTTGATCTTAAAAGAATAAAAATGAATTATTATTATTACATTATTTAATTAAATCTTTATATTGAAATTCATTCATTTAAATTTAAATGCCAAAATTCAAGAATTTTTTTTAAAAAAAAAGACACGATTTCAGTTGCTTTATTCAATATAAAAATAAAATTTAATGAAATACCTGTAAAAATATCCAATTATGATGTGAAAACATAATAATGTGCCACAAGGTATAAATGTGAAAAATGAGGAAACTGGTTATAAACATATGTTTAATTTTAGTTGTGAGTAGTTTTTCGTTCATAATTTATCTGGTCAAGAACAGAATAATTAAAAGTAAAGATTTAGATAGTTAAATAATTATTAACTGTCTTAAAGTTCTTAACTTACACTATTTTTATAATCAGTTCGTTCCTATTTCACTTTTTTTTCCCTACTTATGGGTACTTATGTATAGTATAGCAACATCAAAATTTATGAAACTAAAATCTTTTAACAATCTTTTATAAACAAAAATCTTTTCTTTTGGTTGCCATGTCTGACGATGTGGAGATTATAACTCATTATTACAAATACAAATATAGTAGTTTTAAAAAAAATTAGAACACGATTGATACGTTTAGTTACGACTAGTTTATACTTTGACTTTACGAAGAGTTCCATAAATTTTGGGAGCCAATATCTAATTTTCATTTTAAATATTCTATATTGTAAAACTGCCAACAATATTTAATATTTTTCCTTTTATTAGAGGTTTTCAATAATTTTCAATTCCCTTCTGTCTGAAATTAAATATTGACTAATATAAAGTTTAAAAAAATGTTTTTAAGAAAAATTATTAGAAAAACAATTGAATTCAATACCAACTAAAGTGCGTAATGTAGATTATTTCATTTGGCTAAATTCTGATGACTTGGCTTTACCGTGAGTTGAGTGTAATAGATGAAAAGCAACTTTAACAGGGGTAAAAATACAAATTAATTTTTTAAGGAGCTTTTTTTCTTCTTTTTCCGTAATGATTGATCTGCTATTGTTAGCCAGCTTTGACGACTGATATGATTTAGAGATAACTAACTCATTAAACTAATTAAAATAAATTGGTTTTAGGAAAAAAGTAAATTACGATTGATACGTATGTAGTTACAAACAGTTGCGAATGTTACAAACAGTTTTACGTCGGATTTACGAATAGTTCTATAAGTTTTAGGAAACAAAATCCTATTTACCTTTTCACTATACTATTATTGGTACAAATGCCAGCAATATTAAATATTTTTCCATTTGCTGAAGGTTTTTAATAATTAAAATTAAGTAGTTTTAAGAAAAAGTAGATTATGATTGATACGTATGTAGTTACGAGCAGTTTATATGTTGATTGAATTTGCGAATAGTTCCATAAGTTTTAAGAACCAATATCTAATTTTCCTTTTAACTATACTATTGCTCGCACAACTGTCAAAAAAATTAGTTATTTTTCTTTTTTGAAGGTTTTTAATAATTCAAATAAAATAGTTTCAGGAAAAAGTAGATTACGATTGATACACATATACAGTGAGCAAAAAAATTATAAGGACACGCGAAATATCGCCAATTCTAGAAGTCTAATTAATGGAATCGTGGGCGAATTTTTGAAATAAAAATCGAAGTAAAATTAAATTATTTCATGTGTAAACTAATTAAAATTTCCAAATACAAACCTGCTTAAATTTACTTTTTGATTTTTAAATCCAGATAATATTGGGAAAAAAGTATAAGGTCATTGTTTTTTCCTCTTTAATTATTAAGAAAATATGCATATTCGAAAATAGAAAATGGCAATCAGATTAAAAGATTGTTTTGTGAAAGAAACTTCGCTTTCGGCGACCTTCATCGTGACATTTGAACGATGCCCAAAGAATTCATCTTTCTGATTCTGAGAGAGGGAATGTTGACGAAGTTCCGAGAATGCGGATTTAGTAAATGGGAAATTTCAAAAGGAATCAAGAGATCGAAAACAGTAGTTCCTAATTTTCTAAGAAATCCCTAGAATGTATGGCATGATAAAATGATGACCAGAAATTTGCTATCGCCGACAGAAAATAATGATTGTCAGAAGAGCTTGCCAGGAAAAAGAAACAACAAATGAAGTTAGACAAAAACTTGAATTTACCATGTTCACTAAGGACTATTCAAAATGTTTCAAATAAACATCCTCATCTTTTATTATGAATAATTATAGTGTCACGTCCACTTACAAATCAACAGAAATGTGTTTGCCAAAAATTATTTTTTTCTCGGTCAAAAATGGATTGATGTCATTTTTTCTGACGAAAAAGCGCTCAACCTTGTTGGTAGGTACTTTATTTACGTCACACTAGAGCTGCACAATGAGCTATAGGCGACGGTATGGGAAAAATCCCTGAGGAAGATCCGAAGACATGCCATCGCAATTTTGATCCTCTGTTGTCGACGACCTGCGCGCAGTCGAGCACTTTACGATAGAACTGTT